AAAATTATCTCTATTACCTGACTGTTAGTGTTTAGACCAACTAAATATTACGGACCGGAAGAAATAATCTGAAGTTAAGAAAAGCGGAAAGATACATATTAAAAAAAAATATATATAGGAAAATTGATTTTTTTTAAAAAAGCAACTAATTATTTTATTTAAAATTTCCAATTCTTCTAGTTAGGAAACAATATTATTTTTCTAGTTGAAGATAGACTATGTTTAGTAAACCTAGCTGATAACCAAGCTCATAGCTTTTAAGTGAATTTCGAGCTTATAGCTGTTTGTTTATGATTTATGGCTGAAAAACTAGTTTGTATGATAAAAATATTTGGTAAAATTAGTTGATAAGCTATTTGAAATAAAAATATCAATGTACTTATTTGAAAAGCAACCCTATCAATTACGAGATAAATTCGAGCTTTTTAAGAAAGTTCGTTCTATCAAACTAAATTTATCTGAATACAAAAAGCTTATATAACACATTTAATAAAAAAAATCTAATAAATTAATTGATAGATATGTAACTAATAATCCACTTACTTGGCACCGGGCTTGGCCACATTCTTGAATATCCTCTTGGCACAACTCCTTGCCTCCCACTCGCTGGTGATCTCGGACTCGGCCCGACCAAACTCATCGACAGCCTTCGATATCGTGGTCAACCCGAACGACCTCACATAGTTGACCAGCCTCTTGACTGTCCATGCGGACCCCGTGCTCTGCATGCTCAGCTTCTTCAGCTTCTCTATATCTATCCTCTTCGTCCCGTACCTCCTCGACAAAACCCTAGACGAGTCCCTTATCCTGGCCGGCATCGACCTCGACACACCAAGGTTCCGGCAGTGGGCCTCCTCGTACGCCACGTCATCCATGGGTGGGCCCGACAGCGTGTCAAGAACGTAGTGAACGAACACGCTCTCCTTCATGCGGTCGAAGTAGGTGGTGACGTGGAATGACGAGGCGAGCACTTTGACGAGCACGATCTTGACGAGCCAGATCGTGGCCCCGATGAGGAAGGCAACTAGGGCTTGGAAGGACTTCTCCATGAGCGCATTCTTCTTGTGGAGCTTTGCGTTGAAGATGAAGGTCCACGAGACGAGGACGAGCCCTAGCCACACGCAGTTTTGGATGCTCCTACGAATCCCGTATACGAAGTACAAGACCTAGAAGAAAGTCGATTCGACAAAACAAAATTAGCAATTTTTTTTTTTTTTTTGTAAGTTCAACATTTTAGTAAAGGCAAAAATTCAATTTTGGTCCGTTTACTTGTCTAGAGTCTTTTTTATTGGTACACTAACTTTCACCTCATCAATAATAGTACGTTATGTTGTAATTTGTATCATTTTTTGGACGTTACTCACCAGAAAAGAGATTAGTTTCAAGCCTATTATAAGATAGTTGAAGGCCAATTTCTTTGTTTCAACGAAATCTCGTGCAAGAAAGTTATTGCCCTATATGTTCAAAGCTCAAACTCTCAACTCTTGGGACTGCCTCCTAATCTGGTTATGGCGAGTTTCGTTTAATAAGAAAAAAGGTTGCATTTAGGAGTGATCTGTTCATCAAACTAGAAATTTCTTAAGATAAGAAGAATCGTAGAAAGTCTTGCAGTACGTTATGTTGCAATTTGTATCATTTTAATAACTTTAATCCCTGAAATTAATGAACCATTTTTGCGATAATACTCACCAAAAACAGTACGTTATGTTGCAATTTGTATCATTTTTAGAACATTAATCCCAAAAAATAATGAACTTCGATAGTGATACAAATTGCAACATAACATACTATTAGTGATGAGAGAAAGTTAGGGCATGCTTGTTTATGAAATAATTTGCTCAAAATGAGTTATTTTGATTAACTAGAGTTAAATTTGAAAAAAGTGGTAGGGTTAGTTGTTAGTGGGATTTTAATAATATATTAAAATAATATTTAAAATAAAATGATTATTAATGATTTGATGTAAAAGTAGGATATAAATGATTGGAAATGATAGGTAGTTAAAATTATGTGAGTAGATGAATAGTGAATTAAAGTTGATGTGATATGTAAGAATAATTAGTTTATAATATTTAATTATATAAATAATATAAATGATAGTGGGTTGCGTTAAAGTTGAGTTAGATTTTGAGTATGAAATGAATTATTTCATAAACAAGCATGCTCTTAGTGTACCAAAAAAGGACAATAGAAACAAGTAGACGGACCAAAATTGAAAATTTTCCTTTTAGTAAAATAGTTTAGAGAAAACCTTCTCGCGCAGCATGAAATTCCTCTCGATGCAAAACACCATGATTTTGATTATCCAACCGGATACAAGACGGCCGCTGAATATAACCAAAATCATTAAAAACCAACGCCATAGCCCGAGCCCACACGCGAGCTGCCTCTTGAGCGTCGGTATCGTGAGAGAGCATATTAAACTTGTGGATAGTGTGATGAATATTATCCACTCTATCAAGATTTTCCAATTGATTTTGAGTTTCTTTTTACGCGGCTTTTGCTTGCGGAAGCCATCCTCGTCGTACTCGCGGTACTCTTCGTCCTCACTATCCTCGTCGTCTGTGTCAGAAGTGTCCGAAAATTTTTTCAAGTGCTCGGACTCTTCGGGCTCGTAGGCAAATTTTTGGGTTAACGGACGAGAGAACTCAACTAAACGGGCTTTGGGCTTAGAGAAGCTCAAACGACGTAGGGATTGGGCTGAGGAGGGGGGCAGAGGCGGTAATTTGGCGTCGGGCAGTAGGTTCCTTTTGGGGTTTGGTTGATCAAGGGAATGAGTTTTTTGGTTATGGTCTTGACTATCCATGAATAGAATGACATGGTCAGAAGCTGGTGTTTCCATTTTATTTATTTATTTATTTATTATTTTTTTTTTTTATTTTTTTTGTATTGTATTGTGTGTGGTACGAGGGCTATGATAAGGTAGGCATAGGCTTATATTGTTGTGTTTTGGAGTGGGAATAAACTGCATTGTTTTTCATGTGAGATATATATAGAGAGAATTGGAAGATAATTATTGGCGGGTGTTGAGCGTGGTGAGAAAAAGTTAGTGGTGGTACGGATGATAATAATAAAGACATGCCAAATTATGACTATTTTGCAAGTATATACAGCGGCGCGGATCTAGAAAATTTCATGAGTCAGAGCAAAATATAATTTGAAATTTTTTTTAACCATATTACACAAAGTAGTTATTAACAATTAAATAAATCGTTGAAATAATCGGGTGTTGAGGTGTTCTCTATTTAAATTGCCTTTGACTTGATACTAAAAAATGAAATTGAGAATGAGGTCTGGTTATTTATTTTACATTTTTATTATTATTAAGATATATACCAGATATATTTTACAATCTCTTTTCCTTCATTTTTGTGTAATACGAAATAAACAAGTTATTTTGAAATATAATTTATCAATTTAAGAAAAGCTTAAATGTCATCATGTTTGTTCTTATTATTTTATAAATTTTTTCTTATGGATTATCTTCTTATAGATAAATGTAGAGTTTTTCATTGTCAATTTCCAATGCTTTGTAATTCTATATGTCAATTCCTAAGGATTCGAAATAGTCCATAAAAATATGGATCTTTATCCAAAACTTCTAAATTTAAACTCTTGGGTAACTTAAATTGTAAATATATTTTAAAAGTCAACAATATTTATATATTATCATTTTTTATATATGATAACTTAAATTAGTCATATTTTGACAATATATAATTTGACATTCATATCTTATATGTAAATTAAAATAATTATATCTATCTGATCTTCATCAATAGAAATTTAAATATTATCAATTATAATTGAAAAAACAATAAATTTATCTATCAAGCTTATTATATGATATAAGTACTAAAAATTAATATAATATCGTCGAATCTGACCTGTGAGGTATATCAATTTAAATATAAACAAAAATGTTATTTTGTAAGAATTATATAAAAATTTAAAATAAAAACTTGTATTTATATTTTTACACATATTAAATATAAATTTTTATTAACACATTTTAACTATGTTAATTAGCACAAAAAATTGAGCCTAGGCTCGCCTACATGTGAATCCGCCGGTGTGTATATATGCTCTTTTTTTTAACAATATACTTTATATTTATATTAATAAAGAAAAGTATTTACAGACTCAAAAACAGTCAGATACAACTCAATCAATCAACTATTAAGCTGAATTTAAAAGTATGTCTATTCAAGATAACGTAAAAGTCAGAAACACGAATAAAAACAAAGTAAAATATAAAAGAAACCACAATACCCACAAATAATGGAGATTGAAAAATCACAAAAACAAAGACAAATACGCAAAATACAATGAAACCTCATCTCCTCTTGCTAAACTGTAACCACCACCAAGACCAAGCCAAAAGCCCCTAACAATTGTCCTTCAATAGGCTACCATCAGAAACTCAATAGCAACCTTCAATACATTTTAAGGCTATCCATCCTAAAAACGAAGAAAGAACCGCAAGTCTGAAGCCAACAAAGCTAAGAACTCTAGTTACCTCGAAAGGCTCACCAGTTCACTCGAAAGGCTGGTCAAATTTGAAGAGAAAGGCCGATCAATTATCATATTCATTATTTTACTATCTTCTAATCATATTAACTTTAGTTATTACATTTTATCTGTTATTCATTTGTAATCTCAAAAACATTTTATTCTTCCACCAACAAAAAAATTTTCTATTTTAACTCACCTTTTTCAATAATTTTTCTTTTCCGAAATAATATATATCCAATTGCACCTTACTATATATACATCTTTTTGGTTATAGTCTTGAATATACTAATCTCATATAGTTTGATGTCTCCATTCAAGAATAAAAATGAAGACCCATAATGAGATTTAGATGAGAAATATCATTATACCAATAATCCCCGTTCGTGACTCTTATTCATGGTTTGTGGATAAGGTTGTGTTCTTGTTCAGATCTATAAATTAGTGATAAGTATTAAGGCCAATAAATCAGCCTGTGATGAGACCTCTGTTACTTAAAATAAAGTTCTGGAGGAATTGAAAATTCAACATAAAAGGCAACAAGTAGATCCTACCCTTGATTGTATCATTTCCTTTCTAAAATGATTTTATTCCTTCTTTGTAATCTTTTTACCGTTGGACAAATCTCTATAAGAGACATTGTATAGTTAGAAATAAGATAGCTTGTGTTCATCGTTCCTTAAGCTTCTTTAATAAAATCCTTTTTTCTCCAGACATTCTCTTCCTTTTATCTTGGTATCAGAGACAGTGAACACAAGCAGAATACAAAACCAACCAGTCATGAATTCTTTATCTCTAAACGTCGGCAACTTCATTACACTCAAACTCACTCCAACAAACTACCCTCTATGGCGAGAACAAGCTTTAGCCCTTGCTGAAAGCCAAGAGCTGGTTGAACATCTGACAGATGAAAGCTCAGCACCACCAAAATTTACCACTCCAAATAACCCTTTAGATGCCGAACAATTCACACCATAGTTAACAAAAGAGTTCGTCGCGTGGAAAAAAGCTGACCGCCTTTTGCGGGGTTGGCTAATTGGTACATTATCTGAAGAAGCACTCGGCTTGGTCATTGGAGTAGATACAGCGTTCGGCGTCTGGGAAGCCCTCAAAGATGCCTACGCACAAGACTCTCAAGAGAGAGAATTCACACTGAGGCAACAACTCACATATCTCCGTAAGAATGATGACAAATCCATTGCAGACCATATTCGTACTTTCAAAGGTCTGTGTGACAATTTAGCGGCCATCGGAAAACCCGTCCTTGACAAAGAAAAGGTATTTTACTTGCTCACTAGCCTTGGCCCGCAATATGAAACTTTCACTACCACTATGTTGAAACCTCCCCGACCCACTTACACTGAACTAGTGGCACAACTTCAAAATTTTGACCAAAGACGTAGTTGGATGATCAACACCGACATCGGTACCAATTCGTTTAATACCCCAATGGCTTTCTTCGGACAACACCAAAAACGTCAAGGAGGACCCTCCAAGTTCACATCATCAGGACGAGGTTTCATAGCACAACAACCGAAAAATCTCTCTCATTCTGAAAAATTCAGCCCTCAGCCAAAAAAACCACCACCTCCTGGACAACGACGTATGTCGCAAGCTGAAAGAGATCTTTATCGAGATGAGACGTGCCAATATTGTGGTGTAACAGGACATATTGCAAAAATTTGTTGGTGGATTCCAAAACCATCAAAGGGGACAGATGACTTACCACAAGCATTAGCCGCCCTCACATTGGATACCACTGTTGCTGATAATGAATGGACCTCTGATACTGGTGCCTCCAACCATATGACAGGTAAGTCAGGTATTCTATCTAACCTAATTGTGGATCAGACTCTATTTTACTTGGTGATGGTTCATGCTTACCTGTTGACGGAATTGGATATTCTGAAATTCGTCAAGATAACTTCAGTTTACCATTAAATAATATTTTATATGTTCCAAGTTTAAAGAAAAATTTGTTATCGGTTAGTCAACTCACTTCTGAATATCCTGTCAATTGTGAATTTACTGATAAAGATTTTTGTGTTAAGGACAGGAAAACAGGCCAACCGTTGATAAAAGGAAGGCGTAAGGGAAATCTTTATGTCCTTTCCAATCAACCTGAGTTAAATTTCTCTCACCGTTTCAAGTCTGGCTCATCTAATATTTGGCATCAGCGTTTAGGACATCCACAACACTCTACTTTACTACATCTCAAGAATAATAACCTTATTCATGTCACAGGCCCAACAAAAAATGAGCACGTTTGTGATAGTTGTCAACTAGGAAAACTTAGTAAATTCCCCTTTAGCAGTTCTGAGCATTCAAGTACTGATATTTTTGACAAAATTCATTGCGACTTATGGGGTCCGGCTCCAGTTTTATCACTTGGTTCTTTTCGTTATTATGCATGTTTTGTTGATGATTTCTCCAAATACATATGGATTGTTCCTTTACGATTGAAATCGGATTTATTTGATGTCTTTATCAATTTTGAACAGTATGTTGATCGACAATTTAACAAGAAAATCAAAATACTTCATTCTGATGGGGGAGGTGAGTTTGTTAATAAACGATTGTCTATGCATTTTTTGTCTTCTGGTATTATTCATCATAAATCGTGCCCATATACACCTGAGCAAACAGGTATGGTTGAACGGAGGCATCGCATGATTCGGGAATTAGGTATGACCATGTTATTTCATAGTGGTGCTCCTCTATCTCTATGGGTAGAAGCATTCTCAACGGCCGTGTACCTCATTAATAGGTTACCCTCTTCCGCGCTTAATTTTAATTCTCCTTACCTCATATTACACGACACTCACCCCACATATAGCTCTTTACGTGTTTTTGGATCAAAATGCTTTCCGTATACTTGGGATACTCGAAAAAATAAGTTTCATCCTAAAAGCATACCTTGTGTTTTTATAGGTTATAGTGATCAATTTAAAGGCTATAAATGTTTTCATCCACCAAGTAAAAAATATATATTTCACGGCTATAAAGACCGTATTTCTTTCAAAATTAACATTGATCGTGTGAATAGTATTTTTGATTCTTGGTTGCCTACAACTAACAATTTTCTTTTGTCAGACTCACCCTCCGGTAGTGTCACGAATGACTCTAACTTTATTGACATACCTCTTTCGCTACCTCTAAATCCTATTCCAGATGTAGATCACCCCAACCATGATACCTCATCCACGCCTACAAACACTGCACAACCTGACACTACACTCGCTTTGCCTACAACTTCCAGCCGAAATGATAATCCTACCCTGCATACTTCTTTGCCTAATGAGCCACAAATTTGAGTTTACCACCGCCGACCACGAGCTACAAATTCAGGTTTACCATCAAACGCCCCGCTGCCATCTTCCGACGAACGTCCTCCAGTTCTTTCCTCGTCAATTGAAACTGCCCCTCAACCTCGTCACACTGAACATTCTACGCTCACCCGGTCCAAAGCAGGTACCCTGAAGGCTAACCCAAAGTATGCACTAACCATGACTCTCTCAAGTACTGTCCCTCGAGAACCGACCAATATACGTGCTGCTCTTAAACATCCTGGATGGTATGATGCTATGAAAGAGGAACTTAATGCACTATCAAAATTCCACATGGTCTTTAGTTCCACCATCCCCCCATATGAATATTATTGGATCAAAATGGGTATTTAAAACAAAATTAAAACCAGATGGTTCTTTAGATCGGCTTAAAGCTCGTCTAGTAGCTAAAGGTTATCATCAACAAGATGGTATTGATTATAATGAAACTTACTCGCCTGTTATCAAACCTGGTACAATTCGTTTGGTGATAACTGTTGCACTCTCTAAGCAATGGCAAATCCGCCAACTGGATGTCAAAAACGCGTTTCTCCATGGACGTATCTCTGAAGCTATTTATATGCAGCAACCTCCAGGTATGAAAGACTCTAAATATCCACATTATGTTTGTAAACTTCACAAAGCACTATATGGCCTCAAACAAGCACCTCGTGCTTGGTTTGATCGTTTCAGCATTTTTTTAATAAGGTATGGTTTTTTTTGCAGCAAAGCTGATCCTTCTCTTTTTATTTTACATTCTTATCATGGCACACTTGTGTTATTATTATATGTGGATGACATTCTTCTTACTGGATGTAATACCTCCTTAGTTAATTCTTTTATTAAATTACTTAGTCATGAATTTGCTATGAAAGACCTTGGTGAACTACATCATTTCCTAGGAATTGAAGTTTCAAAAACTACTCAAGGTTTGCATCTTTCTCAATCACACTATGCACTCTCCATTTTAGAACGAGCCAGCATGACAGATTGCAAACCAATGTCCACTCCTTTAGAAATAAAAAATAAACTTCATGAGACTAGTTCCCCTCTTGATGATCCGAGCATGTATAGAGGTCTTGTTGGAGCTCTTCAATATTTAACACTTACACGACCTGACCTTACATATAGTGTTAACTATGCATCTAAATTTATGCATCAACCTTGCACATCTCATCTAAAAATTGTTCGTCGTATCCTGCGTTATGTGAAAGGTACCATTCATCTTGGCCTACATCTTATTTCCCACACAACACTTGATCTTAGTGCTTATGCAGATGCAGATTGGGCTGGTTGTCAGGTTACTCGACGCTCTACTACAGGCTTTTGCACGTTCCTTGGTAGCAATCCTATTTCCTGGTGTGCAAAAAAACAGCATACAGTCTCCCGTTCAAGTACAGAAGCTGAATATCGTGCCATGGCTCATACTGCCGCTGAACTTACTTGGATGACATTTGTCTTACAAGATCTACACGTCCCATTAACTTCGACACCAGTCCTCCATTGTGACAACATTAGCGCACTCCATATGACAATTAATCCAGTGTTTCATGCTCGTAGCAAGCATATTGAACTTGACTATCATTTTGTTCGTGAAAAAGTTGCAGCCGGACAGCTCATCACCAAACATATTCCGACGCAACTCCAAGTCGCTGATATTTTTACGAAGTCATTGCCCAAAAGCGTGCTTGGTTTCTTTCAGACCAAACTATGTCTACGTCTACGACCCCAACATAGTTTGAGGGAGGATATTAAGGCCAATAAATCAGCCTGTGATGAGACCTCTGTTACTTAAAATAAAGTTCTGGAGGAATTGAAAATTCAACATAAAAGGGAACAAGTAGATCCTACCCTTGATTATATCATTTCCTTTCTAAAATGATTTTATTCCTTCTTTGTAATCTTTTTACCGTTGGACAAATCTCTATAAGAGACATTGTATAATTAGAAATAAGATAGCTTGTGTTCATCGTTCCTTACGCTTCTTTAATAAAATCCTTTTTTCTCCAGACATTCTCTTCCTTTTATCTATAAGGTATACTGCATCTAGAAAACTCGTTATCAATGGATCATGGTATTTCGTCGATCTTATACCCTAGCGTGATGCTTTATTCCTAGAATTTGGTATTAATGATTTAAGATGGTACAACTAGATCCTTCTTTGTTGAGGCTTTAATGATTTAATATGGTGCACGAAGTCACTAGTTAGTTGAGGCTTTAATTTTGTGACCATCGAAGCAAAAGGATCATGTTGAGTCCTAGACGTAAAAAACGAGTAAGCCTAGTCGAGTTGAACTGTCTCATTTATTAAACGACTATTTCAAAGATCAGATATTCAACTCGGAAAGCACCTGTAAGCTTAGGTCTCGATGAACTGATATAAATTACGAGAGTTGGCTTTTATTTTAATTATATAAGCACAAAGAGTTAGGGAAATGGATACTCAGTAAATATCAATATTGATGAACCATATCCTCACATTTAATAGTTACAATCACAATACTACCTTTCAATTAGTTGCTTTCTGCAAAATATGAACTAACCTTTGAAGCTTTTATGGGTTCAACCAGCAACAGCTATTTATTTCTTCCAACTTAGAGATATATCCGTTCGCAATATTTCTCCTTTCCAGTAGCTGCATTATCTGATCATCTTTAAAGAGAAAAAGCATAACAGAAAGCGATGAATACACAATTAAGAAAAAATCAGTCATTTGAGCACAAAAAAATGTATTCCCATTTAATAAACAAAAGAAGCCACATCACCCCTTTAGACATTTCACAGCTTCAAGGAGGTGGAAAAGGAAAGGAACAAATAAAATTACAAGACCCTCGCAAGATTTATATATCATGTCAAAAGAAAAACAAAAAGCACTAAAACCCCCCAATAATTTAGCCTCCTCATGGTTACAAAGTCTGCCCCATTTCTTCTGACCATTTCAATGAAGCCATTGCTTGAGCTTCAAACTTGAAAAACCCAACAAATCATTCCTCATGTTGTGTGTTTCTACAGTATAAATAAATATCGTGTCCTCGTTCTCTACATGATCATTTCTTGGTTATATCATCTTGTGTTTTTGTTAGATGAATACCACAGCTTCTTCTGGCAAATCAGTATCTTTTCTTGTTGGACCCCATATTCAGTTTCTTCCTTTCGGCAGCCCCATTTCATGCCCTTAGCTAGAGTTGCCACAGCATCCACGAAATAACTGGATTCCCGAATTATGGCATAACCGTTTGGCCGCAGAATACGGTCCATCTCGAGCAACACATGCTTCATTTCACACCTGCTCAACCATCGTGTGTACACGAGTTAAGTGGACATATAATAATCTAACAAGATTTACTATAAAAACTACCCTCAACCTCTAGTTGAATTACAAAATGATCCAGACATGCCCAACTGATGTTCTGTACCTAATTAATAGGCTGGAATTGTAAAATAGAAGTGGTAGAGTAATAATTGACAGATTCTAAGCGCCTTTTGTAACTGGACTGCACTTCAAGGTAACAATACGTGAACCGGAACTACAAAATTACCCCTGATATTCACGTAGCTATATATCGACTCAGCAAAGTTTCAAATTATCAAATCTTGAGATTTCAGTGCGAATACTATAATTAACGTGAAGGCGGAAAATGCAAGACAGAATCAAGACTCAAGGCTATTATTAGTTTCCATTGTCGGAAACTTCTCTGCCTTCCCATAAACATGAGGCCTACATGTAAATTTACAATCCGAACATAATTTTACCAAAGAAGCAGCATTTTCTTACCTGTGGCTTTCAGCTGTGAAAAGACCATCCACATGGAGAAGGTCGTACGTCCTAGGATACGTTGAGAACGCCTCACACCTAAACAAGACAACAAACCACAACAATCATTCACCATGGCCACCTCAAATCCCAAAAATCCAAATAATAATAATAATAATAATAATAATAATAATAATAATAATAATAATAATTACCAATCGTGGTAGGTTCCAATGAGCCCCCTATCATACACCACCGGCAGAGTGTTCGACGAATAAGACGACACCACGTTCATCACCCACAGAGGATAATCCATTAAGGCCGCTGCAAAACCGCCATACAACGTGTTCATATCCATCACGTTCCTTATCTTGTCAGTCCCTATAGCCGGCACCAGCTTCTTATAGTGCTTGGCCCTCGTTTTCCACTTGCTGTCATCGTGCTTGAAAGCACCATCACTACCCCCTCTAACATCCGCCACCCGTTCTGGCGCGACCCGCAGCCTCTCAGGCCACTTGGCCAGGGACTTGAGTGCAATTTTCTTGTAGTTCGGGCCTGGAGCCACCACACAGGGCCTGATTGGAGTGTACCATGCAGAGTCAGGCTCTGTGCCGTCATCACATTTTGGAGGGTAGATGTCTGGGGACTCGAGCTTCTTGTAGCAGCTCTGGTCGGATAATTTTTGCCAGACGGCAATATCGTCCTTCTTGTTGTAGAGTTTGAAGCACATGGCAGTGAGGAGCTCCTGGAGTTTTTCGTAGTCCGATTTTTGCTCCTCGATTGTGGTGTTCCACCCGTGCCACCTGTTCTCGTAGTTGACAGGTGGACCTGACAGCACCCAGAATCCGCCTGGCCGGAGGATACGGTGTACCTCCAGGAGGTATATGCCGCCTGAAAATTTTGAGACGAATGAGAGATCATAGGAATTGATTATTTGGGGAAATTGTATGGTATAAGGTCTTGTGATTGGAGAAGCAGAGTTATGCATTAACCAGAACAGGAATTGAAAAAAAAAATAAAAAAAAAAATAATTCAAATAGGGAATATCCTGGACACTGAACAAGTCAAAAGCTAGCTAGCTTAGTTGATAGAGAGATACATGATGAAATATCACAAAATTGCTGTGAAAACTGTAGGCTTGGATTTCCTTTTTTCACAAAGGGCTAAAAGTATCCAAGAGCAGAACTGCTGCATCAAAGTGTGAAAAGGAGTAGAGTCACCGATTCCAATGAGTGCCGAGACTAAAATTGCAATTTAGAAATTGAAAAGGGTCCGAAGGAAAAATAATGGTGGTTTCAGAGAAAGCTGATAGTGGAAAACCAAGAAATCTTACTAGATACTAGATTATGAAGCAAGTTAGCCTTAAAATTTTGAAAGAAAGAAAAATGTTGTCTGTTTGCGGATTGTACGTACCGAATTCTGTCCAAGGAATCAGGCATCTTGAGCAGTGTGCCATGTCGAAGGAGTTTGAAGGAAATGGAAGTCTCTGTGTTGAGATAATGCCCAGGATAGCAGGAATTCCACGTTCTAGTGCAAACTGAACTTGAGCCTCATGGTTATCTCTAGGGGCAAGAGAGATAGTGAGAATGCCTCGGTCGAGTAAATCACCTCCCCAGCTGGCAACCTTGAAAAAAGAAAAAAACATAGACAAAAATGTTACAAACACATGCCTGCATACTTAAAATTCAAAATCAAGTATTAACTCAAGCAGAAACTGTCTATATTTTATTTTTCCAGCGAATAAGAAAACATTGTTTTCTGTACATGTCAACTTAAGAAACAGCCAAACAAAGACTATCAATAAATGGGTTAGATCATTATTAACTAAAAATCTCGTTTGCCATAATAAGCTATACAAATAGATCAGCATGCAATAATTGCGTAAGTATATCATACAAAAAAATTCAATAATTACTAAGATGAAACATAAAAAAATTGTGCTCACCCCACATCCAGTATCGATGGCAGTCCTAATAGTCCCATCCTTCATTCCGGGAATCAAATCTTCCATTAAATCAACATATTTACTCACACCATTGGGGAACATAGTGCCACCCCCAGGGAAGAGGAATTTTTCCCCTTCTTTCTTCAGCCAATGCTGATTCGACTTTTGCTTGTTAATCCAATCATACGGAACATTCCTGACAAGACCCAGACATTGAAGTTTTAAACTTCGCTATGCATCAAACTGCCTTACATTTAAAATTTATCACAAAAGAATCTCTTTTTACCTGTACCAACACTCGTTCTTGCTCTGTGGCCATCTAATAGGAACCTTATAACCATCAGGAGGGGGCACCAAGCACTCCTTCTTTTCAAACACAGGAGGGCAGTGGCGCTCCATGAAAGTAAGACGGTGAAGACTATACTTTCTCCACCTCTGTAAAAGAACATTATAATGCCACCTTAATAATAGTATTCGTAGTAATTTAAATAATAAAAGCCTTAAAACATGATTTAATTGAGATACCCGTGGATCTGTGCAAGGGGTGTAGTCCTGATAATCCGCAGGGCATGCAGGAAAGGTGACAGCTTTGATCTGGAGAGGACCTGATGCTTTCTCGTTGGAAGGCTTAGCAGCTTTATTGACGTCCTGCGTGTCATATTTGTCCTTTTCTGAGCAGAAAATTCCTCCAAGATAGAATGAAAACCCGCAAAGGACAACAAACATTAGTGCCATGGGGACTTTCCTCGAATTTTTGTCCGGATGAGTAATCGGCTTTCCATCTTTATGCTTCATGGTGCTCTACACAAGCTGCACACAGACACGATAAAAAAGTTTAACTTTGTTGCAACCAACAAACTTCCAAATGAAAATTCTGATAAGAGTCACTAATTACTGGATACGGAAAATATTAGTATGCATGTGAAATGAAGATTATATTTATGGAAATGATGCCATAATTTCTTCAGATTCTCAATACTTAAAGAAGTGTACAAGGATCGTGAAAATTTAAAGGGTGCAGCTGAATAAAGTGATATCAATTTAGATCAAACTACGAAATACAGCTAAAGTTAATGAAACATCATATGAACAATGTAATTCACACAATCCGCGCCAAAGTCAGAGACAGAGAGCTATTAGGTGTAAATGAATAATCTATATCTATATATATAGTGGGTCAAAGAATTTTAATGTTTAAAAATTTCGTGTTTCTCGCTTTTTTTAGAGTTAATCATGACAAAAAACCACTACATTTTATATAATATAAAATTGAGTATAATTGTATTTTTTTAATATTCTATCTTATAATAGTTATTATTAAAGCTAACCTAATTATACTTTATTATATGAAAGTTACATAAGTATAAAAAATTATGTTATATAATTTTATCTTCAATTTATTTATTCTAATCAAAATTATCTAGTAAGCTAATTGGTTACAATGGCATACTCAAACCCCTTAAAATCGCATTTGTAATTGTTATAATAGTAAATTTAACAATTTTCAGCTAATTAATTGGTCATCTCTCAAAATTATAAAAGTTACATTATGCATTACATTTTATCCAATCAATATGCTGAGTCATATGCACTAAATAGTTTTTTATTGTTTGTTTTTACTAGTGTTCAAATTTTAAAATATAATGCCATTGTATAATTTATGATTTTAATGTTATAAGCAAAAATATAATTTATATAATACTTTATTTGCATTTGTGCACATGGATTTACTAGTTTACTTTATGACTCCAAAATCATAAATAGCAGCAAGTCCAGAAGTTGTTGATATACTACTATAAAACAATAAACGTCAATTATAGCCCAGAAAAACATGAAATTTGCAGATCTACTGCCTAGTGGTAAAGGAAAGCTATCGACAACAGCCTTTCAGACCCGTCAAAAGTATAAGATCTGAATGGGAATAGGGACACACATGACACAACAGTTCCAGTTTGGTCCTTTTTCTCTTTTTTTTTTTTTCATGAAAAATGGGCCCAGATTTTTATATATTTCAGGGATTGATGAGGTTCACTCGACAACTATCTCTAAAGAAAATGGCACAAAAAACAACATTACTTCAATCAATCTCACATGCAAAATCAACCAAAATTTCCAAACAAATCATGAAATCAAGTATCATTGTACTAGAGATTTTGATATGCACACATAAATACAAAATTAAATAAATCAATCAATCAAAATAAGAAGAAACACAGCTCAATCAATTCTTAAACATATCAAGAGAAGGAATTTCGATTAATCCAAGGGAAATTGAACTCAAACGATTTTCGATCTGGAAGAACACATTAAACAGGGAAATGAAGAAAAAGTTCATTTTTTTGGTTATAAAGAAGCTGCCAAGAGGTTCAAGATTTCAATCTTTTCAGACGAATAAAACCCCAACTCTGTTTCTCTTCAGAATTAAATTTTCTGTGTAAGAACATAAAAAACTTTCTCCAAATATTAGATCTGCTTTGACGAAGCCAAACATGGCCAATGTGGTGTCTAAAATCACATAAAACAGAGCTAGAAAGGAAAACGAAGCGCGTAATGGAGGTTCACTCAAACAGGCAATTGGACAAACACCTTAAGCACAGAAAACAGGATCACACTTACCTCCCTCGCCTATGTATAAGACCGAACCCATTCGATTTCTAAAAAAGATTACTAATCCTTAACTTTTCGAGGAATCCTTCATCAGTGGTTATGAATGACTGATTTTCAATCTTTTCGACATTCACATCAAAATTCAGACAGAAACACAGACCAAATCCAAGATCTGACAAAACAGACCAAAATCAGAAAAGAAAGGTACCTTCTCCAGGAATGCGAGTACGCTGCCAATGCACACAATTCCTTTGCAGAACAACAGCAATGGAAATAAATGCACAGAAAACAACTCAACGTACTTGAAATTTGTACAAAATCAAGGCTATGTACTTTCCAGAATCCAAAAGACCCAACGAATTTCTTTTTGTTCCCCCGAAAGAGAAGAAAGGGTTGTTAAGAGGATGGAGAGAAAAAATGTGAGTGCAGAAATTTTGAACCTCACCCTCTCTCACGGATTACCCCTTATGCTCGTATACATTTATAAGTGCATGTGTTTGTTTNATTTTATTTACTAATTTAATTTATTTATTTTCCTATACCACAGCTAATATATCTTTTTCTGTTTACTACACCGTGTGCCCCGCTGGCTGTAAGCTGTATTCTTTCTGGTTTGTTATTTTTCCTTTTTAAATTAAAAAACAATAATAATTGCAAGTATATTATTAGTTTTCTCTTCTCCAGTCTCATCTTTTTCTGGTAATAATTAATTAACTGATTTGATAGATTTTATTTTTACCGAGCATACTATGTGGAGCGAAACTATATCCTTCCTTATCTAGTTATCTTCTCGGTGATTTGGGGCAATCTGTTTTGGAGTGTGTTACACTGTTGTTGCCAATTTTTATGGTAAAATGGTTAGACAAAATCTGTAAGTTTTAAGTTTTAACCAGAATTAACTGTTGCTCTGAGAATTTGATACACTAGGAGCCCGCCACGTGGGTTGGAAAAATGACGCGTACACTTTAATTGGGGCTGTCGGTGGCCCTCGCCTACCTTTTTTTTTGTTTTTCTAAATTTTCTTTTGATTCTAAAATTGCTTCTGCAAATTGTCTTTGCAATTCTTTTTTAATTTTAGATTAGGACTTGACGCGGTAACACACCCCTATAACTTCTAAAACTTTGCAATTCTAAAACTTCTATATATCGTTCTATGAACTATTAATTTATAGGTTAATGGTCGAAGTCAACCTTTAACAATGACAGTCAAATATTTGATGATATTTATGTTACATATTTGAACATATCGTGGTCAAATATGTGCATTTGATCGTTCATTAAAGGTATAATGGTCATTACATAATTACAACTAATATAGTGGACTCCATCCCAACCCACTCCATCTCTCTCACACACTCACACAAAACCCACATTGCACACACACACACACTTTCGGCCAGAACACCCCACCACCAGCTCGCCACTCATCGGCAACCAGAGAACCTAGCTCTGGCTTTTGAACAGCAGGATGAGACGAGCGACGACGATCGAGAGCGAGCTTTCGGCGAGTACCAAGCAACGAATTACCGACGACCATGGCATAAGACCTCCGGCCATCCGAGCGACTGGAAAGAGCGTACCGGGCCCTTAGCGGCTGACGGGGAGCAGTCGAGAGCCACAAGTTTGCCAACGAGTCGGATTCGAGTACCACCCCGACTGAAGCGAGCCGAACACGCAGGTCGAGACCAGATCCTCGGTGAGACAGCACCTGGCCGATAGTGGTCGTGTCCAGCGGCTGAGGATTGGCCTTACTGTGACCGATATAAGAGCCATTAGCGAGCCGAACCTTGCCGATTCTGAGATTCGGGAACCGAGAGCCTCAGCCGAGGCCCTTTTCAGACCCGAGCCTCCCTTTTGGTTTCTGTTCTTAGACCCGAGAACGGTAATATTTATTGGCCGAGGCTATTGTTTTGATTTTCAGTTTGATTGGATTTTGGTTTAGCATGTTTGTATGTTAATCTTGAACCTTGTGTTACTCTTATATGCTGAACTCTATGTATTGCTATTATGCTGAAAATGGGTAAGGATCAGAGTATTTATCTCAGCTTTATAAAGCCCTTAACATGTGTTGCATGATGGAAATAAAGGAAGGAAGAAAAGAGGCATTTAGATGTGTTGTTGACCTCGGTTTTGTAGTGTTGTTCATTCATGCGTTTTGATTATTTTTGTTGGGGCTTGCTGTTGTGATTTTTGTGTTCTCATGATAAGCTTAAGTTCCAGAGTTATTTACGTGATATCATAGATGCATATTGTTTGAGAAATAGGAAGGTGAAATGGGCATATTATGTTGTGTTGTGAACCTTTGACCTCATATTATGGTATTTTTTGTTGACCTTTGGTCATGTTGAATAAGCTGTTTATTTAGTGTTCAAGAGCCTTAATTTAGTCATTAAGGTCATGGTTCCATGCGGGTGAATTTTTTTTTTGCGAAAAGAATATGAAATGTGAAGGCTAGTATGTTGTTTTAGCCGTGTGTTTTTTCTGGTTAATTGATGTTCTTGTTTATGTGTTTTGCTTGCTGTTGTTGTGTGGTCTAATTAACTGAATCAAAATTCTTATTAATAATTAAATCTCTAATTTGTAGATTAAGAGTAGTCGAGCCCTCGCAAAGTTTTTCGTGCATTCATTCGTCGTGATTAGCAGGTAAGGTGGGTGTTTACAAATTTCTATGCTATAATTCTTTATAATTGCTAGATTTTACAAGTTTTCCATTCAGATATGACTTGAACTGTGTATGTGAAAATGTTTTGAGTAACGTCGTTAAATGTTTATTATATATATAAAAAAAAATAACCTTGATTTTTAAAAAAGTCCAAATTTTTCTTTATAAATCAACGGGGCGTTACATGTATAATCTCATATTAGTTGTTGGAATTGCAAGTGTGTATAGTCTCAAATTGAAAGTGTGTGTGTAAAAAAAATGGATTAAATTGGTTGATTGAAGAAAATAAGTTAAATAGTGTTATAATTGGCTTGTAGATTTCACAATAGGAGATACGGATGGATTAGAAAATCAAGCAATTTGATTTAAAGAAACATTAATTGATATTATTAAATATGGAATTATAAAATATTAAGGTATTTTTGAAGCCTACATGGCAGATGATTAGACAACCGAACCTAGACATGTATTACTACGAAACATATATTTGTGTCAAGTAAGTTTTCGAAGTATTCGAGCCCGACATTTAGACTCAATATATTTTGAAATTATATATAGTAAGGGATAAGGGATAAGAATAATACTAATAATTATATTCTTTAATACTAATATTATATCCGCTAAATTTTGAATAAGGTGATGGAGTATGAAATGACTCAATCATATACAATCACTCACTTAAATTGCACATGAAATCTCTCACTATAAATATATAATATAGCCAGGAAAAATCCTTATGACAAAAAAAAAATGACAAAGTTCAATCAGATCACATGGTTCGATGAGGGGTCATCTATCTTTCACCTTCCTCCATCTGCTGCATTTTAGAGCTTAACTGTTCAGGACATTAAATGATTATCAAAGTGACAAATGATTTATCAATAACGTGGCAATTGGCAAAGTGGGATCCACACATTTTGACCGAAAAAAAAAAAAGATATAATTTTACATGCCGTAAAATTAATGAATCAATGCACGTAGAATAAATGGCTGATTTGGATACCTAATAATTGAAGCTCCAAAAGGCCGGCAAGCATGTGCATGCCTCCATGTCTACATTACTCTTTACTCTGTTTTGACTTTTGACCAAGGTAATTTAAATTTTAAATTAATTGTTTTCATCCAATAATATCACCTTCAAGTCCAAATACAAAACATTATAGGCTAGTTTGTTGATTTTGAGGCTCACTAATTTACAGCTGTACACATATGTAGGATCTTGGCATCCAGATCCAGATTTCTTTTGGGCTCTGAAATTCAGAATGACAAATTTGAGAATATTTTGTACTACTATAATATACAGTGAAAATAGTTAAGAAGCTATGACATTTTTTTTAAAAATTTTAAAGTCAACTTACACAGTATAATGTATAGCTTGTTCGTCAATAGTTTAATTAGGATGAATTAAACATAAATTTTTGTCCTTTATTCCTAGGACATGGTTTTAGAGTTGCAAATGAATTGATCCGATCCAAGTTCAACAAAATTAGCAAGATAAATTTAAATTTTAATGAGTCTAATTGAGTTAATAGTTTAAAAATTAATTAACAATATCTATATTTTTCAAGGTTAACACTAAAATTAGCTCAAGCTCGATTTGTTTAATTATCAAATAAATAG